AAAAAAAAGATGTCCCTCTTACCTCAGTGAGAGTCAATACATAGCTATGAAACCTGAGTGACCATACCCCATATGGAAAGCTAACTGGTAGATACATTCAAGGTTTTCAGCATCTCAGATCTTACAATTCTGTTTCGTCATCCTTAAAAGTTTCTAAAGGTTGCTAAATCACAGCTCATACAAGCTAACACCTCAAGCATATTCAAAACAGTTGTTAAATGGCATACATTTGAACACATTCATATTGCCTGGTCAAAAAAACCCAAAGTAGAATTGTGGAACAGTTAATTTAAAAAAGCCCTCTTGAACTCAATCTCTTGACCCAGGCACTTCATGAGGAAGCTAACGGCGCCATCCATAATGCTCAAGAAACTAGTTACTCCTAGGGCTGTATCTTTCTAAAGGGGTGGCATAAGCCTCTTAGACTCACCGTGCGATATAAGACAGAGCAAGTGTCTGGTGTACTGATACACCAGAAGAAAGAGCAAAAAGTAATGATGTTAAGGAAGTAAGGAAAAGAAATCCAAAGGACATAAAAAGCCTCCTTTCCCGTCAAAGATTTATAGTTACCAATGTCTCAGTGTCCATTGACAGTGGGGCCTGGGGGCATACTCACCTTTAACAATGGGGTACTGAGACAACCAAGCTAAAATAATCTCAATTCCCCAATAGCCCTTTCTGTGAAGGAATTGGGGGTTTTGGTTAACTGAAGTGGCTACAGAATGTAACCCCTAACTGTACCTTGTGCTTCCCTTCCAAAGCTTAGGTAGTCCAGAAAAGTATATATCTGATTTTTATATTTCTCAAATACTCAATTCACAAATGATTTTTGCTCAGAAGGTAATAACTATCCTTTAATACATTCCTAGTCTTTGTTTCTTGTTGGTCACTCTTGTCCATGGAATCTCCCGGCTGCCTTCAGGTACAGACAAGTTACCCTGGTTTTATTTCTCTCAAAGACAAATTCTTTCCTCCAAAATCCTGAGTATTTTACAAATGGTAAGCACAATTCCACTTACACTTGATTCTTAGATTCTTATTAAGAAGGAAACAAACTTTGAACCAACAGAAGTGCTACCATATAGACAATTCTGAACCTCTAAATTCTTTGGCACGTAGGGACTATTTGTTTTTAGCAACACATTCAAATTTCATTAAATCAGTTTGGCTTTTACCTGAGATTTTTAATTATGCACATTGCCAACTACATAGAGATGTAGTAGATAACACTGCATCATTTTCTTTGAGTAGCAGATGATATAACATAAGGTTTGAATAAGAAATCATGGTTAGCCACCAATTTTTTGGAGATACCAAAGTTAATTTAATGTATCACAGGCTTAAATTAGTTTAATTTTAATTATAAATATAATCTCTTCTTACTCAAATGCAGAAAAAGCAAGATAATGATTCTAAGATAAATCTGCTGTGCAGAAAAGAGTTAACATCAGGCCTGTGACTATTATCTTTAGAAAAGCTTGTTTGAAAGGTTGGCCCTAGAAACTTGGATTTCAGGAGGGTGCCCACCATTCCCTGAATGGTAAGAGTGGTTCACTGTGCCTAAACTGATTCTGCCAAAAAATGTGGTTTGTGCTGAATGACTGCTTTCCTTCTGGGAATCTGAAATTTAGGCACATACTAGCTAGAGGGTGCCTAAGTGACGAGCTCCCAGTAAAAATTCTGGGCACTGAGTCTATTTTTTATTTTGTGGCTTTTTTTTTCTTTATTGTGCTAAGAACATTTAGCATGAGATCTACCCTAGTGACAAATTTTTAAGCACACATAACAGTATTGTTCTCCATAGGCATAATGTTGTACGGCAGATCTCTAGAGCTGATTCATTTTGCATAGCTGAAACTATATACCCATTGAATAGCAATTTTCCATTTCCCCTACCCCAGCTTCCCGCAAGCCTCCTTCTACTGTGTCTATGAGTTTCACTATTTTAGATTCCTCATATAAGCACTGAGTCTTTCATAAATTTCTCTGGCAGAAGGCTTCTACACATTTCACATGTGCTGTCACATCTCATTTCTAGAGGACTTAAGTGCATCCTGTCTGACTCCACTGGGACTGGAGACTCTGGAAGCTTCTGTCTGGTTTCCTCTAGATTTTGCCCTATGTGCCTTTTTCTTTTCTGATTTTGCTTTGTCTTCTTTTGCTGTAAGAAATTTCAGCCATGAATATGACTATTTGCTGAGTACTGGAAGCTCATCTAGCAAACCATGGAAACTAGGGGTGGTCTTGGTGACCCCCGACACCCCTGATATCTGGGAATCCTGCCCTCTACACAAGATGAACAGTAATGGTATTGATCCCAAAGGGAGGGGAAATCAGTTTTTTGAGATAGCATTTTTCAAGAATGTTCAGGTCAAGCTGTCATCCAAAATTCCCAAAGGCTTTAGTGTGTTTGATGAATAGGTATACACTCTTCTCTGGCTCTAGAAACCCCATTCCCCCCCACCCCCTCAAATTAAGCAATGAGCCACAAAATCTCAAAAGACCAAAGATAACAATCACCATCCAAAATACAAAATGGGAAAACGTCGCCCAAAGGCACTCACCCACTGGAGTCTGCAGAAGTGATAGCAATCAGCGGTAGAATCTTCAGGGGAAGGCTGGTCGGTCTTGGAATGTTCTCTGATTCACTTTTCAAGTCTGCTTGTTCCAACTGTCTGAAGGCAAGAGGGGGAAGCTGAACATTGCGGCAAGAAAGTCTCCGTACAAGATAGGGTTCCATTCCTCGGAAAGGGTCTTCCTCTTCGTTACTGGAATGCAGTGTTTCCTCAGAGGCCTAAGGCAAGAGTTGAAGAAAGTATAGTTCTCAATGAAAGTCCCAGCATTGGACAATACATGGTAGCTCCATACTTCTTGGAGAAAGAAATTAAGGGAAAAGTATACATGAAAAATGCTAACTATGAAGCAACAACACTAACAGAACAATATTTGGTGACAAGATTAGAATAACTGAAATCTAGATTTATTTTTAAAACAGTAAATTTGTTCACCAGTATATTTAGATATGGCTCAGTTGTTACAGTTAACTGACATCTCCAATAATTTTAGAATTTATGAGCTTTGTGCATGAATTCTATAAAATCAAGGGCAAGTCAAAATATTTTTCTGCCTTCTATAAAATGACTTACAGAAAATTCACACATATATCTTGACACATGACGTATCTATACGTACATGCCTATGAAAAGCTAGGGAGAAAATGAGTCCTATTCTTTTTCTCCATACTTAGGACCATACTTGTAACACATTTTCATATGGTTTGTGTTACTTGGATGAGTATTCTTTGCAAACTTTTATCGTAAGACTTTGCGAAGGGAATTTAACAAAAAAGGACATGAAAAGAAAGCTGAGCACCCAGTAGAATCCTGTTAAAATCATGGTTGAATTTTGCAAATTAGATCTTTATTATCCACATGCAAGGCAAATCAAGTCTAGAATAAAGTAGAAAATTGAATATTTTGATGTTAGTTGGAAACAACATACTGTTACATGAGCAATTATTATTTCCCAGGGGTTGGAAAGTCTATTCTAACAATGTTTATTATATCCATGGCCTCAGAATGATAGAGTCACCAAATGTCACCAGGTAACATGCTGGGTTTTAGTCTTTGTGTTGCCACTTAGCTGTGTTCTTAGAGTGCTGCTTCATCTCCCTGAGTTTTCTGTTTCTTTATCAGAAACATAATAAACTGCATTGCTCATTACCTGCATGTGATAAACAATCATAAATAACAATTTTGCTTCCTTCTGAACTTTACAGGTAAAGAAACTAGTCAAGGGAGGCAAAGTACTTTTCCCAAAATTAACCTGTCCATTATAACTTAAAAACTGACTTTGGAGAGCCCATACCTAGCTTAGAATTTCTATTGTACTCCTTATTATACTACTATTTTTGGACAAGTAAGGTTGGTTCTACATTTGAACATTTAGGATAATAATTTTTACCTCTCAAGGTTATTGTCTGGAACAGAGATATGAAGTATTTAAAGCACCAATATCTGGCACAGTTTGTACTCAAAAAAGGGCAGCTACTATTATTATAATCCAGGTTAATTTCCTTTATATTTTCACAGAACTATGCTGCCTTTGATACTTCATTCATCTATATCAATTCCACAAAGAAAATTTGTCTTTTTCTGGCTTATATCTTGAAACATGTAAAAGGATATGCAGTGGTGTACTCTATTCAGCCTTTCATTTTATTATCTAATTTTACGGATAAACAGAATAAAATAAGGGCACCAAAAAGGTAAAGAAGATGTCTAAGCTAAAGTCAAAGTTCATTTCTTTCAAATCCTAGATACGAAGATCCAGATTCTGAAAATCTGCGCTCTGAGGAATCTTCTTGATTTGTAAAACATTAACAATACCAGCTTCAAAAAGGAGTCAATCCTACCATATGACCCAGCAATTGCACTACTGGGTATTTACCCCAAAGATACAAATGTAGTGATCTGAAGGGGTACATGCACCCCAGTGTTTATAGCAGCCAAAAAAAAAAAAAGGAGCCAATCCTGACATTTGCAACAACATGGATGGACCTTGAGAGCATTATGCTAAGTTATATAAGTCAGGAAAAACAAATTCTGTATGATCTCACTTATATGTAGTACCTAAGAGAGAAAAAAAAAACTCACAGAAGAAAGAGATCCAAATTGTGGTTACCAGAAGTAGGGTACAGGAGGAAGGGGAAACTGAATGAAAGTGGTCAAAAGGAACAAACTTCCCATTATAAGATAAATACATACTAGGGATAGAATGTACCACATGATAACTTCAGTTACCACTGCCATATGATATATATGAAAGTTGTTAAGAGAATAAATCCTAAGAGTTCTCATCATGAGGAAATGTTTTTTTCTTTTTCCATGCAGTATCTATTTGAAATGATGAATATTAACTAAATTTATTGTGGTAATGATTTCACGTTTGTAAGTCAAATCACAGTGCTGTTACACTTTAAACTTACATACTGCTCTATGTCAGTTACATCTCAACAAATCTGAGAAAAATTTTAATAATAATAATGACTAATATTTGTTGAGTCCTTATTAAATGGTGCTGTTTTACATATACCAACTCGCAAATTTTACTGAAATCCTCTGAGTTAGGTGCTGTTACTTCTCCCATTTTACACACAGAGAAAGAGAAACCTATAAAACATCAGGCCTGCATCACACAGCCACGTGGTCGGCAGGGTAACCCTCCCGGTTTGCCTGGGACTTTCTGGTCTTAGCACTGCAAGTTCCATGTCTGGGGAAATCGCCAGACCCAAACTAGGATGGCCAATTACCCTTCAGGTCAAGATCCAAAACCAAATCTCTTTTAGTTAAAGGTGGAGCTAAGAACAACTGTGTTTTACTACCTCTACCAAGTAGAGTAAGGCAGGGTGCAGATTACTAGAGGAGAACAATTACTAATTGACCAAAACTTAATAAGCTTCACATTTTCATTGAAATAACAACAACAACAGAACTGAGATCAGGATAGTCTTACATAAACACTGAAAATTAATAATAATCCTTGTTGATTAAATCAGGAGATAAGAGTTTCTAGGATAATTATTTTTGTGGTGTTAAGGGGTCATTGAACCTTTCCGGGCTTTAGTTTTCTTAGACATAAAATTGAGAGGTTGTACAAAATGAACCGTAAGACCACTTTCAGTTTTGAATACTCTTGATTTTATAATAGCCAATGGCAAAATCAATGTGTACAGAGAAGGCAAGCACAGAAAATAAAAAGAAAAGGTAATAAATGTAACATTCTTGGCCTTTAGATTGAGAAAGTGAGCCTCTATGTGTTTGTGAAGTTCTGTGTCTTCATCTAAGGACGTTAAGTGCAAAATGAACCCACATTCTGGGATTGCTAACAGATCATAATTTGCCTTATACATTTCTCAAGAGCAGTTAATGACTGAAGTGTATAGATACCCTTCTTCAGGATGAATATGGAAAAGAACAAAGGATGAGTCTAGCAGAGCTGAACACTGAATGTAATTGGCCAAAGCTAATATATTTTTATAAGTGCTGAGCTGCCCACTCTGACAGTAGCATTGCTACTGCAAAAATGCTTTATATCACCCAGGCTATCTGATGAAAGACTCAATGTTTGTGACATTCTCTTTTGAGATAAAACCACCTCGAGAGGTAACCTCTTTTGAGAGAACAACCTCTATTAAAAATAAAGTGTAGGGCGCCTGAGTGGCTCAGTCATTAAGCGTCTGCCTTCGGCTCAGGTCATGATCCCGGGGTCCTGGGATCGAGCCCCGCATCCCTGGGATCGAGCCCCGCATCGGGCTCCCTGCTCAGTGGGAAGCCTGCTTCTCCCTCTCCCACCCACCCCCTGCTTGTGTTCCCGCTCTCGCTGTGTCTCTCTCTGTCAAATAAATAAAATCTTTTAAAAAAAAAGTGTATTTTTTATCTTTAAATTTTTTATTGTTATGTTAATCACCATACATTACATCATTAGTTTTTGATGTAGTGTTCCATGATTCATTGTTTGTGCATAAAGTGTAGTATTTTTATCTTGACAATAAAAATGACAAAACAGCATATATCTATATCCTAACATTTCCATTCAAAAAACAGTATGACAAATGGCTCTTTAAAAATTCCAGATCAATGTGTATCAATATTTCAAAAATAAATAGAACAACTGTATCTGGTAGAAGGCAGGAGGTCAAATGGCCTTGTTTTGGAAAGAAATGTAAAACTGACCACTAGGACACATATATCTTATTGCTGGAAAATGGCATTTTTGCAAAGGTTGGAGGGATAAGATAGTATTTATATTATCTCTAAGCCATTATTTCTCAAAATGTGATGCCCAAACTCCCTGCATGATAATCACAGATGGTGCTTGCTAAAATTCAGACTCCCAGGCCTTATTCCAGATCTGCCCAATCAGAATCTCTCTGACTAGGGCTTAGAAGTCTGAATAAGTCCCCAGGATGATTCCTATGCATACTAATACTTGGGAACTAATGGTTTTGACATTTTAGACATAGTCCAATAACACTGGCAAAGATCCAAGTACAAAGATGTTCATCCCATCTTATTTATAATAACCAGTAACTGGAAGTAATCTAATTGTTGTATTGAGGGATTGGCTTAATAACTTTTGATTTATCATATTATAAAATACTATGAGGTTGTTAATGCAGAAGGATATGTGATTATGTTTATGATATAACATCGACTAAGAAAAACAGATTACAAAATGATCTTATTTTTGTAAAACTCTGCTAAAACAAACCAAAATGAAAAATCAACATATTATATTCATAGAAAAATTCTGAAAGGATATATCCCAATTATCTAAAATGTCTTTTTCTGAGTGATGGTATTGGTGGTGATTTTCATATTTTTATTACTTGTTCCTATATTCTCTATAAAAATGTATTACTTGGGGATTAAAAAGTACAAGTGAGAGTCTCAATAATAAAATGAAACAACACTCATCTTGTTATTAATGGGACTCATAAATACCACTTAATCTGCTTTAAGATATACAACATCAAAAGAGAAAAAATACTAACATGTTTGAATGAGTTAAATGAAATCCTGTTAACCTGTAATAAAATGAAATTCTCTTTGGCAATTAAATCATTTGTTTGGAATAGCTGACCGAAAAAAATAACTTTGAGATAATTCTTTTTACTGTTAGGACAAATATGTCTCTGAAAGTCATACCTAAAGAAAATAATTCCACGATAATAACACTTAAGATGAATGAGTGAGCATTAAATATGTTGTCACCATTATCATTGTTATTATT